GGACAGAAAGGAGGAGGAGAAGGAAGGCGAGGACAAGTCTCAGCCCCGCTCCATACGGGATCGCCGGCGGCCCCGCGAGAAGAGGCGCTCCACTGGCGTCTCCTTCTGGACCCAAGAGGTGAGCGATGGGAACATTTAAAGTGCCCTTGATCGGGTGCAGCGGTTCATAACTCGTCTGTTCCTCCTTGATCATTTGGATATAACCTTTTTTCTTTTCTCTTTTTTTTTTTAAATTCCAGGGTGATGAAAATGACCCTGACCAGCTGTCCGACTCTGAGGACGGCAGCACCAAAGGAGAGCCGCAGGTAACGACGCACACGCTAAGTAAATCAAACTGACTTTTAAGCCTTCCAGCCAAAAGTCCTATTGCTCTTCTTCTGTGGCCCCGACCTCCGTTTGATTCCCGCCCTTCGTTATTTATTCTCATTCGTGCCCCTTCCTCCTTTGATATTCACTTGTCTCTCCCCGGTCAGATGTAATCTCCTCCCTCTCCCACTAACCTTTCCGTCTCACCGTCCGCAGCCTTTGTATCGTTTCCCTTCTCAGTTTCCATCTTCTGGTAAATTGTCTGGTTGCTGTGGTAACCTTGGAAACCAAACGTGGCCTCGGGGAAAGATCAGTGGGGTTTTAAAACTCGGGCATACAAAGAGAAAGAAGTGCGGGTCACTGGGGTCAAATCACACACACGTCAATGTCAACTACTCCACAGCTGTCTGTGATGTCACTGACATAAATGCAACTTCTATTTAAACTTCATTGACATCGGCTATTTTTTTTTTTGCTTTCTTACAGAGTGACAGGTTGTCCAGGTATGTTTGACCCCCCCCCCCCCCCCTCCACCTTATCATCCTCTTCTATTATTATACTACGCTCTCTTGAGTCACCGCCTGTTCTTTCTCTGCAGTACAACATCCTTAGATCGCAACGACATCCTCTCCAGCCGCGGCTACGGGGAGAGTCGGAGGACTTACTCCAGCCGACTGGACCGAGACGACGCCACTGACTACAAGAAGGTGTGTGTGTGTGTGTGTGTGTGTTTTAGGTTTGAACCCTTCTCTCATCGACATCCGTAGTTTGCTCGTTGCACGCGCTCACTTTGTCCGCCTCGTCTTCCAGCTCTACGAGCAGATCTTGGCTGAGAACGAGAAGTTGAAGGCCCAGTTACGCGACACGGACCTGGAGCTGGGGGACTTGAAGCTGCAGCTGGAGAAGGCCACGCAGGTAAACCCGGGGCGCGCTCCGCTTCAGCCGAGCACCTCGCCGTCAGCATCCCTCGTAACCTTTCTTCTCCCTTTGTCATCCTCCGCTGCAGAGGCAGGAGCGCTATGCCGACCGGTCACAGCTTGAGATGGAGAAAAGGGTAACGACTGAGTTTAATAAGCCCCTTAACGAATGTCCTTGACCGCAAATATGTGTAACTCCTGTTTTTAAGTTTATTAAGTTGATGGAACACGCTGGTAACACTACCGATGGGTTTATGTCTGAAGGTAACAAGCAGGCCCCAATATCATCTGGGTAGTGGTATGATCTGAACCCGACTCTTTGTATCAGTCTCCTCTCTGCTGCTGGCTGCCGTGTCACACATGTAGTCGGGGGGGGGAGGGGGGGTCGAAGGGACTTCCTCTCTCCTCGCCACCCAGAACACCGCCAACTTCTCTCTCACCTGTTGTAGAACCTCAGAGGCAGCGTGTGATCACCTCTTCTCCAGATTGCTTTCTTTGTTGTTGTTGTTGTTGTTTTTATGTGTGGAGGTCGTGTGCAGGAAGTACGACAGTAGGCTGTTGATGTGCTTTTGGAGGAGTCCGTGCATGCGTGCGTGTTCATGTTTCTCACTCATTCAGTAACGCTGACGTCTTCGGCCACGAATCCATACGTCCAAATCCATTCATTCTTTTAAAGCCACTGCAAAGAACTCCATTATAAATCCATTATAAATGCCCATGGCATGTAGAGGCAGCACAAAGTCCCCTACCTACCTCAAAAACCTCCCTGTGTTTTGTATATCTCACCATATAAATCTATATCCACTGAGTATGTAAGTCTATTACTGAGTGTTGCTTGCAGACGCCTCACCAGACGTGTGTGTGTGTGTGTTTGTGTGTGTGTGCGCGCACTACCGCTGCAGCCCCACCTCTCATGCAGTGTGTGTGTGCACGGTGCTTTCGGCTAATTGTCCTGTGTGAAATGTGCTGATTGCTGAGTGAACCCGCTGTCCTCCCCCTCTTGCAGGAAAGAAGAGCTCTAGAAAGGAAGATATCTGAGATGGAGGAGGAACTTAAGGTACCACACACACATTGTTGAATGCATTTATATCTATATGTGCAGTAGGTTTAGATGTCTCCGTTAGTGGGGTCTAAATCACAGCCAGTGTGTAGGCGGGAACATCTGTGTCCCTCTTTAAATACACCTGAAGCACTCGTTCTCTATTCTGTATTCTTATAGCGAGTACTGAGTTATCCCAAATGCCACGATGCTTCAGATGAAAGATTTATTACAACTGCGGCCTCATTTTATGTGAGAAACCCAGAACAATGAGACGTGGCAAAAAAAGCCTCTTCAGCTTGTATCCACACGTTCGAGTCTTTAGGAAGAGCACAAAGTTCTTGTGCAGATTTAGCGTCTTATTGTTGCACCACATTGATGCGTTTTCTTCAGGTCGGAAAACTCCGTTACTCTGGCTGTCAGAAAACTATCCATTTTAAGTTGTAAACATTTCATGTACAGACCTTAAAATAATAAACGTGATTCAGCCGCTGCTGCCTCGCGTTGGACTCCTCGTTCAGCCGCTGACCTCTGACCTCTGATTCTGTTTCGGGGCAGATCTCCGGTCAGCCGTTGTGATCCATGTTGACGTAACATTTGCTCCTTTTTTGTTGTGTTTTTTTATGTGTGGGGGGGGGGGGGGGGCAGATGTGTTGTTGCCGTGGTAACGGAGGGTTTTATTTTGCGGCAGCTGGCTGATGGCGTCAGCGCCGCCGCTCTCTGCGAGCATCGGGCTGAGCCGGAGAGCTCTCAATCGCTTCGTCGCTTTCTGTAAATCTGTCCCCATTTTTCTAACAATCTTCCTCTTCTGCTCCCCCCCTTCTCCTCCTCCTCCTCGGCCCCCCTTCTTTTATTAATTTCTATTGTCCTGTCGTTCATTTAACCTTTTCTCTCCTAATTTGTTCACTCTTCTGCCTATTTTTTTTTCTTCTGGTTTCCTTTTTTCTCTCACTTTGTTTTCCCATGTTGTTGTTATTGTTGGTGTTGTCCCCCCCCCCCCCCTCCCCTCCCCTCTTGCAGAACCTCCCCCAGGTAAAGCAGGTTCAGGCCCTGCGGCAGGTTAAGGAGCGGCTGCAGGCTGAGAACCGGGCCCTGTCCCGAGTGTTGGCGAAGCTCTCGCAGTCCGCCTGCAGCCAGCTGCCCACCGTCGACCTCTAAGCCACGCCCGTCTGTCCGCCACCATCTCCTCCCCACCCCCCAACCCCCCCCCCCCCTCTCAAACCCCTTCCTTCTCATGCTCCATTCGTGCTGTGCCCGCGCCCATAGACAGGCAGGTGCCCGGCCGATCAACCGCCTCCCCAGAGCTTTTGGTTTTCAGATTGGGGAGCGTGTTTTTCATTTTGTTATTAAAGTTCCTACAACAGGACACTCTCCCTTTTGTACAGAACACACGTAGCAGCTGATTTCCACACACTTCAGTTTGTTAAAAAAAACAAAAAAAACCTCCCTAAACAACCCGGACGACACAATGAGACAGACGAGACCGCTCAGGTAAGTGGGATTGAAGCCGTAGAGTCCGAGCGGCGAGGGAAAGTGTCCTCCTGTAGGTCCTCGGTGTGTTGCTTCCATCAGGCGGAGCTCGCTGGCTCCGTTTGGCTCCTTTTGCATGAAGCGGCTTCAGACTGAACCCTTTTTTTCTTTTTCTCTCTCCTTGCTCCCCAAAATGTGTTGATTTTGAAAGCCGGTGTAGAAGTCCGCTGCATGGGCCGAGTGCAGTGTGTGTGTGCGATCGCTGCGCGTAAAGGACGTGGATATTTAAGCTCGCGGTTGATCGTCATCTGTATTAAATAAATGTTTTTCTCTTGTTGCGTGTCAGTGTTGATCATGATTTACCACTTTAAAGTAATAATCCGCTGCCCCAATGCGTTTTTTTTAATATTCTGTGTTGTACAACAGCTTCAATTCAAGTGCACCAAACCAGATGTGTGCGTGTCTGTGAACATGTCGTGGCGTATCACACGAGCCGGAGCGTTACCTTGGATACGGTGGCACCCGGCGGGTGTCACGTTGGGGAAAAGAGGCCTTCTGCTCTCACTTTATTTCCATAATACTAGTAATCTCATCTTTATGGATGTTCCTCTAATAAAGTTTTTGACGACCTCAATTTCATCATAACTTGCTTATATTGTGACGTCAACAGGGTGGGCTGTATGCAAATTACATTTTACGACGTAAGGATATCGTTTATTGAACAAATAATTCTGTGAGCCACAACATCTTTTATATTTGCATTAGGAGCTTGACATCAGTGTTTGTAACTTTGTCTCCCTCTTAGAACTGTCATTCTAACGCCCATACTGGGTGCCGTAAGCTCCTATTTAATTGGCGATGGTTATATAAAAGGAACCGACCCACTAAAGCTCG